CCCCCCTGCAGCTATCCCAACCGTCAGCCTTTGTTCTACTCCCCTGTTGTGATTCCACTACCAACCTCGCCCATCCCAGCAGCAATTCCCAAACTGCCACCTTCATCCCTCCTGACTGCTACTCAGCAGCCAACCTCTTTCCTCCACCTACTCAACCCTCCAACCAGCCCTAAGGTGTCTTTATGTTTGTATTGTTATTATTCTATTGTCAAGAGTAGTCTTTTGTAACCCTTTTGAAATTTCAGCAATAATATTTGCATTTTTATTGTGGTTTGGTTTAACTTTAGTATTATTTGATATTAGAGCTAGTCTAATCCTAGTCATATCTTAGTGTTTCCTAGCATTCCACCAAAAATTCTCTTTCTTATTTTCAAACCATAGCCAAACCTTGACCTAACACTAATTTCCCCTTGCTGATTTTTAAAATCAGCAGCCCTAAAATAATTTTTTGCACCTACTTTCACCTCCCTACTCTAAATCCTAGCCATACTACCAAGGAGATACATGTCTGAACCTACATGGGAAGTGATACAACGAGAGATCCATCGACTTCAGCGAAGACTTGCGGACATTAAGAATGACACCTAGGGCAAAATTCCCTCAATGGTGACAGGGAAAGTCGAAGAGACAAAAGAAACGAGAATTTCAATGCCTTCCATAGAAAGGATTTCAGTGACAAAGATGAAATTCCTCGGTGATTTGGAATCAATATCAGAGGAGCCCACACATGGAGGACACAAGGATTTTGGAATAAAAGTGTATCATGGAGGTATGGATCCAAATGATTTTATTGAATGACCACAATCAGTTGAGAGGATCTCTGAGTACAAAGAGGTGCCAGAAGATAAGAGGGTAAAGCTTGCAACTATCAAATTGAGAAAGAGTTTCTCATTGTAATGGGACAGCTTGTTGAGGCAGAGGAAGAGAAGAAAGTGATAAGATTTTGAAGTGGGAAAAGATGAAGAAGCGATGCAGAGGAAAGACGTCCCACCCCACTATCACCAGGATGTGTTTTTGAGACTCCACTTACACAGAGATCTATCTAGATGAGTTAACAACGCAGTTTGACCAATTGCAGATGAAGTGTGATTTGGTCGAGCCAGAGGAACACATTATATGCCGTTATCTGGTGGGCCTGAAGCCTGCTATTAACAATGTGGTGTTGTTGTTGCTTTATTGGTCACTTAGAGATGTCTGAACCTTAGCATTGAAAGTAGGAAGGCAGCAGAAACAAAACAGACAACCACCATCAGTCAGGCAGCTACCCACAGTCGGACAGCTCGCCCCAAGGAGTTGAGAAAACTGGTTTAGATAAGGATATAACCTCCCCTAGTGAGAAGAAGCCCGAGAAGAATAGCACGCCTACTACAGTCCTCACCAGAAAATATTTCAGATGTCAAATTTGGGCACATTGTCTTCAGCTGCCCGACGGGCCGAGTTGACTTTCACAGAGCAGAGCTCTGTGGAGGAGGTTAGCGAAGTGGAGACAACTGAGTAATTGGGTGAGGTGCATCAACTTCTACCTGATCAGGACGAGATGCTCGCGGTTCGGTGGGTCATACAGTTAGAGGATACGGGGGATCCGCAGTTGCTTCTCCACAACATATGAACATAGAGGTATGCAGTCTCATCATAGTTGGAGGTACCAGTAAAAACATGACATCTACACAAATGGTGGAGAAGTTCAGTCTCATGCTCAGAAGCATTACCAGTCGTATTTTCTTACATGGTTAAAGAAAGCCAACAGGGTTAGCATTGACCAGAGGCGCCTAGTGGAGTTCTCGATTGGGAGCCAACTGCAGGTTTAGGCGTGATGAGACGTGGTACATATGGATGCTTGTCACTTGTTATTGGGGCAATCATGACAATCTTGCCTCATGCTCAGCACGACGGATTTAGAAACACTTAATCCTTCACCGAAGATGGTAATTGCTCCATCCTTCTTCTTCGACGAAGCCCGAGATCACGGGTATCCTTACCAGTAGAGCCGCATCAGTGAGATTGGTTTTTGTGATGATAGAGGAAGATGGGACTGAAACACAGGCTTCAGACACATGGCTGTCCATACAGAGAGTATTTCGAGATATAACGATTAATATCTTACCACAATGGCCGCCACCGTTCAA